CGTCGTGCCCTCAGCACATCAACCGGACCACCTGCAGCAGGCACAGAGTCAGACGCAAAGTCAGGAACTGCTGGAGGTAAGATCGACCTTGAGAACCAGAACAAACAAAAAGAAACAGACTCTCTCTCTCTATCTCTCTCTCTCTCTCTCTCTCACTCTCTCTCTCTATTTATATACAAATAATTATCTATTCCTATCCACCTACCCCTCAATCCCCCTTCCATTTCCCGTCACTCTCAAACTCTTACAATCTCAGTTTTCGGCTCTCGTCTCTCATCTTCCATCTCCTACCCGCCCTACCACTCTTCAACTCCTGCTACCGCTTACTTGCGCCCGCACGAATCTCCGACTTCTATAAGGCTCCGATCTTTTGTATTCATTAGCAATTAATTAAGTTATGTAAAATTAATTAAGTAAATGCCTCGCTCACAGAGGAATATTACAACGATTATATGAATTGATATGAATGCTATTAGCATCTGTGATTACGATCGAACCCCAATGAAGGATCATTGGTTCGTGATAAATTTTGCTCTTATATCCCATGAGTCTTGCTTATATAAGACACTTATATTTATAATATAAATGCGCATTATAAATGCATAAAATTGTTTTTAATAATTGATAAGCTGGATTGCTGATTGAAGCTCACCCCGGGTTTGCTTGATTTCTTGATTGAGAATGCAACGTTGAGGAGAATTTGGCGTTAGCAAGCATTTATCTTCCTTTTAGCGATCCAACTCCTCATCTACGACGTAATGTCGACTCGATTCTAACCAACCCATTCCCCGAATACCTAACCTCCCTTTGTTTTGCTTTATTGTGTATCTTTTGTTTAATCGAGATTGAAGAGAGCACCTTCTCGACTTCCTCTACGAATTGTCCCCGCCCAATCAAAAACTCCCTACATCTCGAGTCTATTACACACGCATAATACACACATGTACAAGCGCTATGCGTGAAAAAATGACAACAATGATAATTGACGATTATAAAGGCTACTATGGTGACACAAACACGAGCACACGTACACAATCACACGGGCGCACTGTCGAAGCGAAGTAGAGCTACAAACACTCGACAGGAGCCTTCAATGAATAAATAACCAATAAATAGCGGCAACTGTGTACTCGAACGTTATAATATAAAATTAAACTATATCTTTGGAACCTTTACCTTGAGTTCTTATTATTATTATTATTATTATCATTATCATTATTATTATCATTATTATTATTATTATTATTATTATTATTATTATTATTATTATTATTATCATCATTATTATTATTATCACTATTGATTATTATCATTACCATTATCGATTATTGATTATTAATTATTAATTATTGATTATTGATTATTGATTATTGATTATTAATTATTGATTATTGATTATTGATTATTGATTATTGATTATTATTATCATTATTATTATTAATTATTATTATTAATTATCATCATTATTATTATCATTATTATTATTTTAATTATTGCATGACATTAGGAAAGCTTTTTGATTATTTAATGATAAGACTATGCGAACGAGCACGTTGAAGTTTTCACGTGATGAAGACTTGACACGGCGTTCGGTTTGTGCTACTTCTTTAGTTCATTTTAGTTGATTTAGATGTTGGTTTTTATTTGTAAGCTTGTAGAAGTGAAATAGCGTATCGAGTTCGTTCGGCTAGAAAGAGAGAGCAAAGATACGAAAATAAATGAAGAGAATACGGGGAAAAAGTAAGTTGGGGGTGGGTGTTTGCACGAAAAAAAATGGCGGTTGGATGGGCGGCCGGGAGAGATGAAGGGGTAAAAAAACCGAGGAAATGAGAATGAGAATGAAAATGAAAATGAAAATGAGAATGAAAATGAAAATGAAAATGAAAATGAAAATGAAAATGAAAATTGGAATGGAATGGAAGAGAATATAACGTTAGAACGTGGGAAGGCTCGTCGTCCACCTTACTTTTCTTACACGATGACACTCGGCTTAGTGAGACGTTGACGAGAAGGCCGAGGTCGACGAGCCTTCCCCGACTAGCCAATTGCTTGCTAACGAAATATACGAACGAATTCTTGAAGAATCGACGTCTTTTGCTATTACCAGCATTATCATTAATATAATTAATAACTGTTACTGTTAACATTCATACGACATTCATATGAGGGCAAGCGATGCCGAAATTATGAGGAGGAACGGACGTGCTGCTTTTTGTCTGGATTCAATTGAAACGGCTTATTAAAAAGTAAGTTAATGTAAATAGATGAAGGAGCTCGAAGAAATTTGACGTGAACATCAATGTAATCGTATCGACGAACGAGCAAAAACAGTAAAACGCGAAAAATAACGATTGTTGTTTCACTCGAATCGCACGAAAAGTAGAACGAAACGTTGAAAGGAAAAGCCCCTTTGGCAGCCAAGAAGACTCGGCAAGAAGAGCAATGACGAATACGGGAAATGGAATTAGCAAAGCAAGTAGTAATCACGAGGAATGGTGAAAGAGTGATAGAGAGCAAAATTATAATGAAATAGTTATAATTAGGCACGTTAGATACCATATAGAGGCTGACGTAAACGTAGGTGCGATTAAAATTGCCGCAATACTATCCTGCGTCTAGCTTCTCCTGTCACTATGTATAACAGCTAGCTGTATAATAATTACACAGCATGCCAGAACTCAGTGTATATGTCTCAGTGCGTGTGTGTGCGCGCGCGAGTTTGTGCGTGCGTGCGTGCGTGCGTGTGTGTGCGTGTACGTGTAAGTGTGTGTTAGCCTACGCATATGCAGGTACACATATAGATATCTTATGTATATGTATGTTTATATGCAGGAAATATGTGTGTGTACACACGCACACATACGCGCGCGCGCGCGCACGCGCACACACACACACGCGCATACACACACACACACATACACACACACACATATATATATATATATATATATATATATATATATATATATATAAGCGTGTGTGCGCGCGTGCGTGAGCGCGTGAGTGTGTGTACATATATACGTGTGCAAATGTCGTAACCGGTAAGCGGATTACTAAAATATGCGTGTATTTACGTTATTTTATTTTTCTCATCTATTTACCAATTTATACACACATGTATATGTATATATGTATGTATTTAAATATATGTGTATATATAATATATATAGAATATATATATATATATATATATATATATATATATATATATATATATTAGAATATGTAGATATTACGTTTACAATTTGTAATTTCGAACTCGCATTTTATAACATGTTTTACGTTATTAGCTTTAAGGTTGCGAAATTCTTTTTTAATTTGTATGTCTTCTTATTAACGTCTTTTATATCCGTACTATTACGAAGTTTTGTAAAAGCTTATAGAAAAGAAGAAAAAAAAAATTAAAATTAAGGAAATACAAAATAAAAATAAACAAATAAATAAACAAGAAAAAAAAACAAAATAAAGAATAAAGATTAATGAAAGAAAGCTTATTATAGAATTAAAAAATTGTATCTTTGTATTATAATCATTATGTGCACTAGCAAATTTATTCACTGTGCTTAGCTCACGCATGCGAGCTTTTTTTACACTTTTGTGCTTATATGTAAATTGCTCATATTTAATTACAACCGACTTATGAATTTTATTATATTGTATTATTGGCTTTTTCTAAACCATTGGTATTTTATATTTTATCAATTATCTTTTGGTGTTGGTATATATCATTTCATACGCTTTTATCACTTTTCACATCATATCTTCGACATTCATATTGCGTCTGGAGGTTTTTTTTCTCTTTTTTCTCACAATGATTATTTATTATTATACGATTGCAGTTATGTTTATTTTATGCTCGATTTAAGCGATTTCCACTCTCTTTTGCTTGGAACGCCATAATTTTTTCAGATGTAGTAAACATTGTTATATGGATATATAATGAGGATTATGTAAAATAGTCGATTGCATGTTTCTTTTTCTATAATTGTTAGTGAAGTAATTTGAACAATATTGAAACGTGTCTTTTTCATCAATAAATTTAATTGTTTGTGAACATTCATTGGTCTTATAAAAGTTGTTATCATTTTACGCTGATGTTTTTTTTTTTATTATTATTATTTTCCATTGCTTAGCGTCGCGTATAAACGATTATCGATGATATTAAGGATAATATTATGAAACATTTTTTTCGTCGGTACGATCAGGTCCGCCGCGACGATGTCTTCTTTAATTCGTGCTCAATTATTCCGGACTTTTTTTACTCATACTTTTTGATCACTCTTAAAGATTAAAAAAAAAAAAAAAAAAAATTATACAAATAGAAGAAAAAAAAAGATATATATATATATATATATATATATAAAGAAAATAAAATGAAAAAACGGTTGCTTTTGTGTCTGTAGAAGTCGTTACATAGATTCACGTTCCCTCGGTTACGGAACACGTAGTAAAAATAAAAAGTGGATATTAGCATTACTTTTACAGCATGTTATCAAAAGTTTGATAAGAGAACATAAATAAAAACACAAGTGATATAACGATGAAAATAAACGAAATACACAGACACTTTTTTTGTTGTTTTTGTACCAAGAATACAAAGTTGCCTTGATATAAATGAGATACGCCGCATAATTATATTACAATTGATTTGAGTACATTGACGCATAAATCGGGCAAGCATGAACAGAGTGAATTTTTAAAAATTGTTGTCAATTTCATAACAACGTCACAACGTCACAACGTCACAACGTCACAACGTCACAACGTCAATATTTATGCCTCGACGGATATTTTATTTCGGCCAATCTACTTGGTTGATGCTTGCTCTTATTGCTAATGACGTTTGTATAAATGATCTTACGAACGAGAATGACATTTAAAATGAAATGTGCGCAGGCGCGGAAAAAACGCCAAGAAGAAGTGGAGAAGATACGTATGGAAGAGCAACAGCGTAAGCAACAGGTAATAAAGAACTTTTATTTTAGCCTGAGCAATAATAAATTTGTGGCGATGTGGGAGAGCGAAGGGTGGGACTGATGTATCTTTGTTGTTGCAGGAACGAGAGTTAAAGAGGCAACAAGCGGTAATATTAAAGGAACAGGTGAGCTTTATCGTATGGTTGTCGTCCTTTTATCCTCGCTCGCTCATTCAAACGATGGTGTGCCGTAGAATTAGTCTTATGCCGTGATTTTTTTTTTTTTTCTTTCTTACCCAAACTCCCGCCGCCGCCCCAATCTTCTTTTCATTATAACCCCTTATATCAGCATTATATCGACTTTTCGTCTGTCGTGAAATAATTACTTCTCGAAAAAGTTTTCATGCGTTGCGGTGATTTTTTTTGCCTAGCGAACCATATAATTTTCATATTAACCGACGAATCATCCGCGCGATATGTAAGCAATTTCGAGAAAGTAGAGGAAAACGTTGAAAATTTTATTGTTTAATTTTTTTTTTTCTTCATTCTCTCTCTCTCTCTCTCTCTCTCTCTCTTTCTATATATATATATATATATATATATATATAATATATTTTGTTTTTCTTTTCACGTTTGCGTATTTACTCGAATATATCGCCTCTTTTACGTTGAACTTGATGAAAGTAGCTTGTCCTTGCATTTTTCGTAGTGGTAAATATTTATTGTTGGATATTCCCCCTTTTCTTTTTAAATGTTCATTTTCCTCGCATATCATATCGAACCATTTCATTTATTAAAATTCTAATCGCCTAGTATGAAAAGAAAGATGAAAAAAACAAAAAAACAAAAAGAAACAAAAAGAAACAAAAAAAAAAAACAAATAAAGAAAAAGGGACGTTTCTCTTGCCTTACTCGAAAATTCATTGGCAATTAGGGGCCGAAATTCACAAAATTTTAAAACACTTTGTTTAAAAAAAAGCAAAAAATAAATAAATAAATAAAAAAAAAACAAAAAACAACACATCGACAACGCGACGCGGTGCATTATAATGCGCTCCCAGCCTTACGAAAACCGATCGATTATCCATACGCTCCTACCCATGTGTGCATGCGCGCATACACACGTACATACGCGCAATACAGGCACGCGCACGTACGCGAATGCGCGTATGTAAGTGGGTGTGCATGTATATAATTATCTAGTGGCAAGGCAAATAACGAACGGCATGATAACCAAATTTTTATGATCCTAAGAAAGCAAAGCAAGATGAACTAAAATTATGAAATAAAAGTATTCGATATGATGGCAAAGTAGATATTAGAATTTTTTTTTTTTTTTTTGCGAACCTTCCTTTGTTCTGCGTTCGTTTCTCTTTTCTTTCATTTTCCACCTAGTGATTGAGTCCTTGAGAACGAAAAAACAAAAATCAAAGTTAGTTTCGCAAGGCTTAGGCAAAGCGAGATTCTTAGATTGAACGTAGCGGTAGTTTGAGCACTGGTGGACTGGATGTGTTTTGTGCCGCAGATGTACATGCAGGAGCTCACCAAGCAGCGCGAGATGCTCTACACCGTCGAGCTGGTATGTCTCATACCTAACTTGGATTAAACCCGAACCACCCACCTGACCGCCCGACCACCCACCTGCCCACCCTGCCAGCCGCTCACAAACTCAAACTTGACACGCACAACATTGTCTCTCAACTCACACTCACACTCACACCGCCACAAACGGCCTCACCAAATTTTCATCGCCATCCCGCCCTCGTCATTGCACCCTTTTCCTCGGTTATACTCGCCCTATAACACGCGCCCACCCTCGCTTACACACGTACATGTACACGTACGCGTATCCAACCACCTAAATACCCACTCACCCACTCACTCGCCTTTACCCCTAACCCTTGATATCACACACTACACACACTCTCTCTCTCTCTCTCTCTC